AAATATGTTGAATGTTCTGCATGTTCAATGTCAGATTTATCTTCAATGTCGAAAGCACGTAGGTGCTGAATGTCCTATTTAACTTCAATGTCGAAAGCATGATATACATGAATATTGGCGGTGATATGACGCCATATCAGACATGTGAAGAGGCATGTGCTTTCCGTTTCTTCAGCCGGGAATGGCAAAAGGTCGTGTAATATTATATAAACTCTGTTGACAAAGGAAAGTATAACTGCTGTTCTGACATGTTGATGTTCTAGTAAAAATGGACCGTGATTCTTCCCTACTTTGTCAACAACATATAATAAATTGATTGTGTGGTGTAGTCGCTGGGGACTCGTTGATGACACGGCGTGGAAAGAGAGATGCCATTGTCCTGGGCTTTTTCCGGGTACTCGGGTTCCCTCGCAACTGCGAGTGTTGACACAGCACGTAGACCGCCCTCGTGTATTTATTATATGGTCTCAAAGAGAGATGAACTACATGAAATATATATCTAAATAGATATATTATTACTGCTTTCGGCGTTCATTACCCTGGATTCCAGAGCCTTCGACAGTAAATAATAAATTGATGTCCTTCGCGACATTTCAATTTATTATTTACTGTCGAAGGCTCTGGAATCCAGGGTAGGCGTTCATCTGCTTTCAGATCTAATTCGAAAATATAAAGTTTCAAGTTGAATAAATTAATAAAATTTTTGTACAATATTACAGATGCAAAATATGTCACGTAGCGAGGCAACAGACGTTTCTGACAGGTAGCAAATAACTGAAATTTCAAAACCCTGAAAGTTCGCTATAAACCCACAAGATTTGAACTCTTTTCGTTCATTACAGGAATAGTAGTACAAACACGAGTCGTATATGTAGAAAAGTGTTTAAAAAATTACGTGAAAATTCTTTGTTTAATTGTTTCCTTACACGCGGTTGGTAAGAGTATATAAAGTAAATACGATAAAAGCATAGCAACAAAGATATTGATTTGCAATAACATAAGATAAAATTCAGCTGAGAAACATCTCGTTCTTTTCATTTTTCTCACGAGAATTATCTCGCGACAGAAGAATGTGAGAATGTTTATATTCAGTTCTCATGACGAACAGCACCAAAACAATGTAATTCTATTCTGCTAGCTATCCGGTCGTAAATTAACATACAGTAGTATTTACTTACATACGAATATGCCAAAATATACTATACTATACTAGAAATTGATACCATCATTAGCATTTATCACCGTCGAGTTTCTACTTAGAACAATTACGAATAAATGGAAGAATATATTGCGTTTTGTTACATTCTATCGAAGAATATTAACTATGGTAGACTATTGTATTTTGTTACATTCTATTCTAGGCTTTGCTTACATTTTACAATTGCTAGAATGATAACAAAACATTCGAATATTCCACTGTAAATGCGCTCTACTGTAAATTCATTTAAGAAACAGAGTCGACACTACAGAAAATAATTTTCCAAAAACATATATGGCTGTCTAAGTTAAACTTTCTTCCGCATATTTTTGTAATCCATTTTCGTTGGCCCATGACACCATATCAGACTATCAGTCTACATCAATGAACCCTCTAACCAAAACAATAGCCATTAACTTATTCAAAACGAATATATCGCAGGCAGCTTATATAGAATTTGTAATGTTTTAACATCTAGGTGTCTCTTTCAAAGTAAACGTCCTTAATAACTTTAAAATAGAAAGGATTAGAGGTTGGTTTACATGTAACGCGAGCATCAAGGGGGAGGATCAAGTTATCATTTGAAGCATCATAATATGAATTATTTTTTATTATATGTAGTAGTTTTTTTGTTTTATTAAATGTAGTAGTCCTGTAGTAGGCCTGTATCCACTTTATCCCAAGTTGCTTGCCATTTTGCGGCCTAATTTTGTTACATGAAATCGACGAAATGGACAAAGTTTACATTTCAAAACACAGTTTCACAAAAGCGGAAGTTGATCAATATCGTTTCAGCAATTGTGTAAAAACCGTGAAGCCAAATGATACTTACAGTTTGTTATAGCCATCCCAGATTATAGAAGGCTGCCATCGCGTTGTTGCCTGGACATTCTGCCATTGCCACACAATCGCAGCAAATATGGAGACGTATATAACGCGTGTAAACAAATATGAAACCATCATTGAAAAGCTTTTGATTCTCCCTAATTTCAGTTCTGTGTTCTCCCTTTCGGTTCTGACGTTCAGTAACACAACACTTTACATATAATAGCGAAAGTATTCAACATTAGCACGTAACAAAGCGTCTCTCGCCTCCTTCAAAGTAAATAGTTTTTTAGTGCACGCATATTTATTGTCTCAAATTTCATATCGAAACAAGAGGATGTCCGTTGTGGGTGGGGCTTGTTGTATGGCTCCTCAATGCCCCATACTATCGAGCAATAGGACGTCTGACGTCTGCCTAGCGGGCTAGTATAGTGTGAAAAACAATGGCAAACCAAAGATAATTTTAAAATACAATTTACCCAGGGTTTTTTATCCAGGTTCGTCGGTCGTCTTGCGTTTACACCACGAGGGACACACGCGTAGGTGTACTGCAGGGGAAAAATAGGGGACGGACAAAAATGTGCCCGACCCTTGACGGAAATCGCCCGACCGATATACAAAACCTTTCCGTCATAGACTTCCCAGCATTTTTGTCAATAGGGAGGGGTTGGCTTGGTGGTAGATTTTATATGTAAGTAAAATAAAATTTAAATTTTTTTTTTTTTTGGGGGGGGGGGAGACTGCAGCTAGTATGTTTGTGAAATAGTTCCACCAAGTACGTTCTGAATTCTTATTCTATGTGTTGATTTATACTAGCTTGATGTAAATTCGTTGCTCAGTATCGCGAGAGTGCCCTTGTCACAGGAGTTGACAGTCTTATTGCATGAGAACTCGTCTCATCCCCATTGCATAATTGGTAATTATTTTTGCCATTCTTCAATTTGGGTGAACTCTTCTGAGTACGGTTGTATTTGTTCTAAATTTGTGACTTTGTTCCGTTTTTACCCGATAAAGCTGTATAGAACAACACAGCAAGCGTACTTTATATTGGGCAAATAGACAATGGGAACACTTCATGCCCCAATATTTTCTTGAGAGAATACATATTTCTACAATCAGTAGAACTTTTTTGGCACATTTTATAATATACAGACAACCATACTGAGTCTGCCAGTCACTTGGAAATGTTGCTTAGTGAAATTAGTTTGAGAGTAAAAATGAGACATACAGTCTTTTGCAATGTAACCTTATACGATCTTGATTTTGGTTAGTTATCAATCAGTTTCGCATAGCCATATACGGCAGCACTTTCCATTGCGATAGTACGGTGGCAGTAACTCCTAGTATACACACATATTATCAGATGAACAATATTTTCTTTGGTTTGTCTACATCCTACACGTATCATGTGTCATCTTGCGTTACACTCAGACGCCCTCATCTCTCCACGACTTTCCGTCCGACGGAAACGGGGTCCGTCCTTTGGGTCTGACAAGTTGTTTTGATTTTGCCATGGTTACTTATGTGTGATTGGTTCATTTTCTTATCATTTTTTTAATTAATATATATTTTCAGGAAGCTTTCTCAGTTCTCACAAAGTGATTCTCAGAAACGTCCTGAACTAAATAAACAAATTTACAAGGAAGACGTGCATATACTACATAACTATGAAAAATATTTAAAAATTATACGAGGGAAAGTTCAAAGATTGCTAAAAAAAGTTTCTCCTAAATGTAGAAATACTACTAGAGAGTTTTGTCTTTCTGTCCAAGTTGTTCCTGTCTGTTATGGCCTGATAAGCGAGTCTTTGCTTTCCCCAATTCCTGACACTTTAGGTGGCCTTAAATTGTCCTTATATCGCGTATTGTAGTTGTGTATTTCTCTGTTCGCTTGAACTTCAAATCCATGTGAGGTATGATTATTTAGACACTTAAAAACAAATAAACATCTATGATACAATCTACGTTGTTCAAGAGTGGTCCAGCCTAAAGTGTTTAACACTTTAACGCGTCTGTTGCCGATCTCATTGAACCAAATCACTAACTTAAGTAAATCTCCATTAAGATTTCTTTCAAGATCATTGACATCTGAGGCGTAGCAATATGAGACTGCGCCGTTCGGCATACAAGGAAACATTGCATTTATTGGTAATACTGGGCAGATCGTCGATGTACATGAGAAAGAGAAGTGGGCCCAAAATGCTCCCTTGGGGTACTCCAAAAGTGACAGGAAGAGCGTTCGACATTTCACTTCCACAAGACGTTTGTTGCATCCGGTTGGTCAGGTAGGACTCAAACCAACCCACGGTGCTGGACGACACACGTCACACACCCATCACTTTAAGTTTGTGGAGTAAGATGCTGCGGTCCACTGTATCGAATGTCTTCGACAATTCTAAAAGTACAGCTCCACAAAGTCTTCCATATTCCGAGATTCGAGTGATTCCTTTTTTGCGATCGTCTTTGAATAAATTGCGATTTCTGAATTCGCGAAAATTTCGGAACGAACCGTAAAATTCCGACAATAGTCGTTTGTCATGCTGGAGTATGTATTTTACTGTAAGAAAAGGGATTTAAATTTTGCAATGGATTTTTGTGGCAATTTTATTTCAAATTTTAACAAGTTAAAATAAAGATTTTTGTACAAACTTTTTGCTGGGATAAAAAGAGAGTACATGGTGAGTTTAGGAGAATTGCGATCTATGGAATCAACCGTAAAATCTCGAGTGAAATTCATCAACAGAACGGACAAGGAAATTGAAATATTTTGGATAAATTTCTCGGGGCAGGAAATTTCGTATGGAACTCTGCATGCACCGCCGTCTAGGCTCTCAGTGGTGGCAATAAATACATTTGTCACCCATCCATGGATAGTCAGAGACTGTGAAAGTAGGCAGAGATTATGGCTAAATTCGAAAGAGGTTTTTTACCCCCCTCAGCCGAGGGTTAGACGAGTTGGCAGAGTTGCAATCAGGCCTGATAGAGAACAGTTGCGAGTTGAAAGAGCTAATATCTTCATAACGAAGCCAGGTAAGCCAGGCATGGTGTTGCGGTTATGCTGCTGACTGGAAAGTCTGGAAATAGACCTTAGAATTGCTTACGTCACAATTATTAATACAGAGGACTTCTGGAATGCACAGTGCATTCTGGGATACCTTTGGGTCAATAATTCATTGTCTAATAATTACGTGATGTAAGCTAGCATTTCCAAGGTCCATTCCACACCCAAGATTTAAAAAAATTTGATAGTAAATACATATAGAAAGCATTGAAATTGCATGATATTTCGGTTATACCCCCGATATCTCGGTTATGGTAACAGGATCGGATCAATTGAAAAATACAACCCCCAGAACACATCAGCGATATATATAGACACCTGCTTCGTTTTGCCCCCATTGAGTTACAGCACTCTCCCCTTGAAGAGTAAAGTCATCTGATGTTAGACAGAGGAAAGGGTTAATAAACCCTTTCTGATAAATCCATGACAAATTGAAAGCAATTTTCTAAAGAATGGGGCAGTTCTATCCAGCGCTAACTCATGGGGGACATATACTTGGATTAGTTCACAGAGTTGGTGGACCATAAATAAGCTTTGTTTACACTGCGAGCTCTGTCCTGGGCCTTGCTTTGGTTGACATATATGTAATAAACCAAACTTCACCTGAATGATCTATTAATTCTATGACAGGCCAATGATCCATTGTAATTGTTTTGAAAATCCCACTGTTCTCCATGCCATCCATCATCACTTGCTCTGTTTTGACATATTTTAATTGTTCTGCAAAGGCCTAAATTGCTTCGACAAATCAGGGTTAAGTCAATAATTTTACTGTCGTTCCAATTGAAGTGTTGCTCAAATATTGATTCAATACATTACCTCGGTCTGACCAATTCATTTGATCAAGTTCCTCGAGATATTCATACACTTCCTGTGAAAGAGCCAATTCCAAGTATTTGATCATTTCTGGTCCCTTCCTTTCTATTTATGATTGATTAGTTGCACAAACAACAAAGGTGATTGGTACATTCAAACTATTCAACAGGAAGTTTACAATTATACTAGGAAGTGTATGAATATCTCGAGGAACTTGATGAAATTAATTGGTCAGCCCGAGGTAATGTATTGAATCAATATTTGAGCAACACTTCAATTGGAACGACAGTAAGCTTCCTGATACTTCAATGTGTTTGATTATATTTACTGAACACTGAAATTTTTTTGCTGGTTTTTTTTTGTAGTCTTCAATGCAGAAACACTCATGGACATGTGCTGTTGTCGTGTGTCAAAAACCATGACACTCCAAGAGGTTGACAATCTGCCCTTACCAAATTTTATTAAAACTGAAATAAGAAGACATTACGATAGTCCATAAAACTTGAATGTTTTGTGGCATTGAAATGATGGAATTTGATATGTAAGCAGTGTAAATACGAGTGAGAATAGGACAAAACATATGAGAACCTCTGGGAACCAGGGTAGTGTAAATAGTCCAGGTTCGAATTAGTTGAGAAAAAATTATGTGCAACTTTTTTTTAAAAATGTGGCTCTAAATTTTTATAAAATAGGTTTATGATTTTTGTAGCTACTGATTCAAACATACTCAATCAAGCTGCAATAATTTAATTTTTTGAATACTTTTAAACTTTGTTTGCAATCTTTGATATACAAACCTAACACATACAGTAACTGGCACACATCAGTCATGTGTTTGTCTGTCATGGTGGCTAAAATTTGACGCCTTCCAGTCTGCAAACATGCCGCTAGTGTGCATACAAAAGCACACTTTCTGTTGTGTATAATATTGACTAAGAGCTGTAAATTAGGACCTGTGGTAAAATAGAGTTGCATGTTCAAAGTTTATGATGCATTTCAAAGTTTATGATGCATTTCAAAATGTCAAGAACTTGTAAGTACGGTATGTAATAAATTAATATAGTTTACAGTATATAAAAATAGATTTTAATACTGTACATCCAATTGTGCTAGTAGTAGTTGTCAGTTATGAAGTTTATTATTTTTACTCTGTCCAACCCCAGATGATTTTACCAGTCAAGGGGAGAGTGCTGGGGCTCAATCGGTCAATTATCAGTAATAATTTGCAAGCAAAAATTGTTGCCTTGATACAGCTGTTACAGTAGTAAATGAAACAGATTTTTGTGTTGAAGTTCTCTTTAATACTGGTTTGTTAGAAACGTTATCATACACTCCTCACTCCAAGTTGTTTATTGTAGCGACTTTGAAACACCTCAAAGTATTGTTAAAACACTCTGATATATCCACTGTTGGTATAAAATTATACAAAGCTGTTTATTCTCAACTAGTAAACACACTAAATTACAAATGATCTACATTTTTTAAAAAGATTAAAAGAACTATAAAATAGGTAATAATAGTTTTGCTAACATGTAATTAATACACTTAATTCTCCTTTTGAAATGATATACAAATATGATTTGAAGTCAATAGCAATTAGCATAAAAACATTCTTAGTTAATACAGTTAAGACAGCAATGCTTGTTTGCTTTGAACTAAGTTTTTTTAAAAACAATCTAGTATCTTTCTTTTATTTCTATGATTCATCCATGTTTCCATTATTTTCTTCACTTCCTTCATTTGCTTCATAAAATGTTGGCTAAAAAATAAAAAGATGAATTACAAACAACCAACCGACACATTTAAGGTCAACAGGCATACCAAGTATGGCAGATAAGAATATGTGATAGCTGGGAGAGCATTCCTGCCACGTTTGACCACAAAATATGCTTTTCTGATGGCGTTACAAATAACGTGTCAAATAAGCAAGGATCTCCCACAAAATTGCGAAGATGGCTGAATTTGCAGGCAACATACTGGTTCATTAAATTAACCCATTAAGCTGCAGAGCTTCCCCACTGACGAGTAAAATCGTCTGCACTGGGGTGCATTGCGGCTCAATGGGTTAAAGTAGTCTAAAATATGCGCTCAAGTGCTGTATAATATAATAGAGAGGTTCAGCTTTGACATCCACTACCATTAAAGTGCGACTAACCACAAATATGATTTCTTGTATGTGTAATATTTGGCTCATTCAAAGAAGAAATGTAATATATCTTTATCGTAAAAAATCCCATCTTGATCAACTTTTTCACTGTCGAAGTTTCCGGATATGATGTCATTAGGTGAATTGCAAATGAGTTTTCCTTTGTTTTTTGTACCAAAAATTCACCTAATGACATCATATCCGGAAACTTTGACAGTGAAAAAGTTGACCAAGATGAGATATTTTACTATAAAGATATATTACATTTCTTCGAATGACCCAAGTAGTACACATACCAAAAATTATATTTGGGGTTACAGTAGTCACACTTTAGTGGACTATTAATAACCAATCATATGCATTTGATATAGTTGATTAACCAATCGGATGCATCCTGTGTCAGTGAGAGGTAGCAGGAATCGAACCTGCGACCCTGTGATTCCAGTGCAGTGCTCTAACCCTCAAACCTACATCTTACCTTGGTTTCAACCTCCAAGTTTTCCTGTTCTTGATCATCGTCACTCTCTTCTCCAGACGTCCCGCTGTCCACCGGCTGCTGAGGTTTTTCTTCGGTTTTTGTTTGTGGCGGGGGAGGTCTACCTGGCTTCTTCACTGGAAAAATAAAAAATTTGTATGAACTGACAGTCTCTATGGGCAACATTTCTATTATATGTTTTCTAAACTTATCAAGTCATCAACATAATTGGCTCATGCTGTGTTGATGTTCCTGAGCCGTTCGTTGTCCTTGTATCTGTTTAGGTATTAATTTGTTGGACGGCAAAGCTTAATAAATAAGTAAGTATTATGAACGGCTAAAACTGTTATGAGAGGATGACGAGGTGATTTGCACAATGTTGCTGTAGCATTTCAGGACAGATATTGCTTTGAATAAGCAATACATTTTCATAAGGACATTAGCTTGTCTCCCTTGGATTTATGCTTCTCCTTGTTGTCTTCAAGAGAGATACTGTACATCATTTGACTCTCAATGGCCTACACTACATTCCCAGCCACCAGTACAGATTCTCACAGCATGGTGGAGAAAATACCTGATCCTGATGAAGGCTTGGCGATATCCCGGCTGTTCTCTTCGTTCGTTAGCTGACTGTAACATTTGTCACAAACACGAATTGGCTTCGACGATTGCTGAGGCAGCAGGAATCTTCTTGTTGAACATGCCCCACACACAACCCCACCACACTTGCGACAGTGGTGCTGAAATTACACAAAGAAAAACTCAATTTAAGAAGTGCAGTTGTCTAACAGAAGCAAGAAAATTCAACTACATCTCAAAGTTCTGTTTATTCTCCTCTTAATACAAGACAATTGCTGGACAATAGCTTGGTGAAAACCACCTAATATTCATTTCTTAAAAGCAATGTTAATCCATTAAGTTGCATTGCACCCTACTTTATTATTTTACTCTGTCTAATGTCAGACTATTTTAGTCATCAAGGAGAGAGTGCTGCCACTCGTTGGGATAAAATTAATCAGGGTATCTGTCCATGTGCTGACCCATTAAGTTGCATAGCGCCAGAATGCGTCCTACTTTGTCTGTCTAACGCCAGATGATTTTACTCATCAAGTGAAGCTCTGATGCTCAATGGTTAAAGTACGACTGACCACATACGATTTTTTCTATGTGTAATAAATGTAATATATCAAAATAATAAAAAACCCATCTTGATCAACTTTTTCACTGTCAAAGTTTCCGGATATGTGAATCGCAAATTAGTTTTCCTTTGTTTTTTGTACCAAAAATTCACCTAATGACATCATATCCGAAAACTTGGACAGTGAAAAAGTTGATTAGGATGAGCTTTTCTACTATAAAGATATATTACATTTCTTCTTGAAATGACCCAAATATTACACATACCAAAAATTATATTTGGGGTTAGTCACACTTTAGTTTATGTATGATTTAGTATGAAGATTTCAATTGCCCTCACCCTTCTGTTGAGGGTGGTGAATTTCGATTTCCTACAAAGCATACACGACGCTGCTTCATTATCCGGTATCCAAACTGCCGCATGTTCCTTCAACGGCTGCTTCCCAGCTGAAGAAAAATGTAGAATTAATTTGTTGAATTATTGTCAAGAAAGGCAGGGAGCCAGAAGGCAGGAATATTGAAAGAAACCAAACATGAGAAAACAAAGGGAGATATATTAAAACAAGAAGGAACAACAAGGAAAACATAGGACTTACTCTTCGACAGAAGATCAGCGATACATTTATTAATGTGGGCCATCCATTCAGCTTTCTCTGTGGCTGTTGCAGCATAGACTGCAAATGACTTCTTTGGACTGATAATCTGCCAGCCATTTTTTAGAGCTATGTAGAGAAAAATGAATTGCTTTACTAGTTTACATTATTTCTTCCGGTCTTTTTGGGAGAGTAGTTCTGCTGTGTATCTGTAGAGGAGTAAGTGGTGTTTAATATTTTACCTCCATCATCTTCTATAGCCAGCAACTGTACTCCTTCCAGTGGTAATATGTGTTGCTTATTGTACTATAAAGCGAAAGAATTAACGTAATCATTACTGGACCTCTAGGACAAACTGTTTAGAACTGATAGAGCTGTCCAGTATAAATAAGTTTACTTTATTCAATCCACTATACCTTTTTCTTGTTGATAACAATGTTGCCATACACCAGAATATCGTTGAACAAATAAAACTACAAACAAATTTCGAGTCAATTATTTTGCAGCTATAGTAAAATGTGAAAGGAAGCCACTTTGAAGTTATTTTATTTGAGACGTACTTGTCTAGGTTTTGGTTTCTTGCGGCATAACTTGGTGAGAACTCCCTCCCCAACCAATACTCGGCTAGTGACGGCCAAAGGCTGGCCAGAAGCTCCAAAGCATTTTTCTACATTAGTGATTCTTCTTGAATTGGCTTCACTATTCACTGGAATTAACAAATAATGACCATCATCATTACAATCACCAGCACCACCATCATCATGATTACCTCCACTATCATCATCACTATCATCCTGATTACCATCATCACTATCATCACTATCATCATCCTCACTATCATCACTATCATCATCCTCACTATCATCAACATCATCACTATCATCCTGATTATTATCATCACTATCATCACCATCATCATCCTCACTATAATCACTATCATCATCATCCTCACTATCATCATCATCATCCTCACTATCATCATCATCACTATCATCATCATCATCATCATCATCATCATCATCATCATCATCATCATCATCATCATCATCATCACTATCATCATCATCATCATCACTATCATCATCATCATCATCACTATCATCATCATCATCATCACTATCATCATCACTATCATCACTATCATCATCATCACTATCATCATCATCATCACCATCATCACTATCACCATCCTCACTATCATCATCATAATCACTATCATCATCATCATCACTATCATCATCATCATCACTATCATCATCACTATCATCATCACTATCATCATCCTCACTATCATCATCATCATCCTCACTATCATCATCATCATCACTATCATCATCATCATCACTATCAACATCATCATCATTACTATCATCATCATCCTCACTATCATCATCATCACTATCATGATCATCATCATCACTATCATCATCACTACCATCATCATTACCATTGTCATTGATCATCATCACTACCATCACCACCAACCACAGCCCCAAATTAACATCTTCTAAATACATCACAACTTAATTGGCTTGACCAATTAATCTATGGGCTAAACAATAGTGAGCTTTTGCCAAGATATTTTAATTCTCAATTTGCTAAAAATAAAACGTCAATTTTATACTCATGAAAATGTTTCTATAAAATATTCAAATATGTAAATATTTTTTACATAATGTATAAAATCCCCATGTCGTGATTTCAAATATACTTCCTGAACCTTATTGTTTAGTAACATGAAATAACCATTCCGAAATAACCGTTGACCTCATAACATGAGTAAAATTCATATTCAAGCATACAAAATTGTGTCACACAAGGGAGATAAATTTAGTAATTTACATCTGGTAAATAAACTTTTCCTGATTTGGAAGCATTAAGAAAACAACTTATCAATATCAAACTTTTGGGCTAGAAAACTGGCTTTTTCTTCCCTAAACATCAGCCAGAAATCAGGCTGTTTTAAGCGAGAGATTGCAACTGTATTAAAAGCGGAATTTTGACACGGTTTGACACTTGAAACCAATATAGTATCGTGCCCAAATTCAATGATCACGCCGCAAATTTAAAAATGATTTTCCTACATTTATACTTAAATATTTTGCTTAAAACTTACCTAATCTGTCCACCATAGTGTAGGTTGACCTCCGCGCCGATTTCTAAAGAAATCGCTTCACAAACAAGGCAAAAAACAGCGAAATTTTGCGTTGTTGTTACCAAAAGATCACAATTATACACAAGATCAAATTTAATATTCTATGTCTCCTCCCCCCCGGAAGCTGATAAATTACGTGTCGGCAATGGCCGGAAATACGACGGAAAGCCGAAGTCGCCAACAATGGTAAAACCGGAAATGCTCGGTTACTGTCGGAATCTTTTGCTTTTTAGCCAGATTTTTTCCGATATTTTTAGTAAAATTTCATATTTTTTTTTATAGGACCATTAAAATCATTTCAGAATTGGGAGATTTAATTGGTTTTCTCACTCTGATAACAACCATTTTGACCACATTAGTAAAACTCCTCGCGCTTTGGCCTCTCGGGTTACAAAATCAAATATCCTCGGATTTTCAGACAATAAAATTAGCTAACATGAAGTATGTGGGTGAGACAAAAATAAAATGGAGGCAAAATGGTCGAAAAATAAGACAACTTTTTAATCTTTAATCAGTCGATTTTACGACAGAAATTGCTGGTTTTTGCTCTCATTTTTTTTGGAAAAACGTTTCTATAAATGTAAAACATGGCCTCGTTGCCAGCTCAAGTTTCTGGCGCGCCGAAACGAAAGGAAATTTATAAATACGAAGCGCCATGGACACTTTATAGTTTGTCTTGGAGTGTACGACAAGATAAAAGGTTTAGATTGGCCCTTGGAAGCTTTGTTGAAGAGTACAATAATAAGGTGAAGCCAGGGATTGTGTTGGGATTGTGAACACTGTTCATATATTTAGCTAGTGACAGCTGTTTCGTAATAAGCTGCCATGGTTTGTGTCTGAGCTGTCTGAAAAAGATATCTCAAACGTGGTGGTTCAGTGTAGGTAGTATTCTACAATAAGCTGCCGTGGTTTGTGTCTGAACTACCTGAAAAAGATATCTCAAACATGGTGGTTCAGTGTAGGTAGTATTCTACAATAAGCTGCCGTGGTTTGTGTCTGAACTACCTGAAAAAGATATCTCAAACGTAGTGGCCCAGTGTAGGTAGTATTCTACAATAAGCTGCCGTGGTTTGTGTCTGCGCTGCCTGAAAAAGATATCTCAAACGTGGTGGTCCAGTGTAGGTAGTATTCTACAATAAGCTGTCGTGGTTTGTGTCTGAACTACCTGAAAAAGATATCTCAAACGTGGTGGTCCAGTGTAGGTAGTATTCTACAATAAGCTGTCGTAATTTGTGTCTGAACTACCTGAAAAAAATATCTCAAATGTGGTGGTCCAGTGTGGATAGTATTCTACAATAAGCTGTTGTGGTTTGTGTCTGAACTACCTGAAAAAGATATCTCAAATGTGGTGGTTCAGTGTAGGTAGTATTCTACAATAAGCTGTCGTGGTTTGTGTCTGAACTACCTGAAAAAGATACCTAAGGCCTGTTTCAAACATTGTGCTTCTCATGTGCAGAACGCATTACAAACAATAGATAATAAGTTGAGAAGCCTCATTATCTATTGTTGTTATAAATGCGTTCGGCACGTGAGAAGTACGATGTTTGAAAAGGGCTTCAATCTAGAAATGTGGAATATTCAACTTTTTTTATTTTTGGATTCAGGTTCAGGTTGTTGAACTTGATGAGGAGACAGGAGAATTTTCTGTGAAAGGACAGTTTGATCATCCTTATCCAACAACAAGAATTCTCTGGATTCCAGATAGTGTATGTACTGCATCTTATTTTGTTGAGGTTATACATGGTCATTTGTCAACCTTCCCTGTTGAATCACCATCATGATCACTACCAACATTGTTTTATCACCATCACCACCATCATTATCACTATCACTATCATCACCATCATTATCACTATCATCATCACCATTATCATCACCACCATCATTATCACTATCATCATCACCATTATCACTATCATCATCACCATCATCATCATCAACATCATTATCATCACCGTCATCATCAACATCATTATCATCATCATCATTATCAACATCATCATCATCATTATCATCATCATTATTATCATTATCATCATCATTATCATCATCATCACCATCATCATTATCATCATCACCATTATTATCACCATTATCATCACCATTATCATCGCCATTATCATCACCTCATCATCATTATCATCATCATCATCATTATCACCACCATCATCATTATCATCATCATCATCATCATCATCATCATCATCACCATAATCACCATCATTATCATCACCATCATTATCATCACCATCATCATCACTATCATTATCATCACCATCATTATCATCACTATCATTATCATCACCATCATCATCACCATCATCACCATCATCACCATCACCACCATCTCCATAATCTCCATAATCTCCATAACTGACAGTCTAATTATATTTTCACAGAAAGCCATCTATCCAGATCTAGTGGCTACATCAGGTGACTATCTACGAGTATGGCGTGTTAGCGACAGTGATGTCAGACTGGAATGCCTATTAAACAATGTAAGTCGCCATGAAAATATCAGACATGATAATATCAGACATGATTTGTACCCAGAACCATTCCTAGTACTGTATAGATGACGTTCTGGCTAGTTCATCTGGATAGTTTGTCTTGGGTTTGCACTGAATGGGATGGTTCATTCTGTTCTCATTTTGTGATCATAGCATTATATCTTCCTTAGAACAAGAATTCAGATTTTTGTGCACCGCTGACATCTTTTGATTGGAACGAGATTGACCCCAATCTGATCGGAACATCGAGCATTGACACAACGTGCACAATTTGGGGTTTGGAGGTGAGTACTGAAGAATCCTTGCTGTCGGCCCTTGAGCTCAAGACTCAAACTGGAAGCACTCTTCTCACATGTGACTGAAATGAAATGCTATCTCTTGAATATCTTGAAAGTTTTCAGCTGCTGTTTACCTTGAAATTGTTTTGTTATATCCTTTTTGTTCAAAGACGCTGAAAAATGAGAATATGAAAATTGATTTCAAATGCCTTAAGCGCCTGGTTCCTCTATGATATAGTTGTAACCATGTAAGGCTCGAAATTTATGACTGTGTTTTTTTTTCTGTTTAGACTGGCCAAGTTCTGGGCAGGGTGAATATGGTGTCCGGACATGTTAAAACGCAGCTAATTGCACACGATAAGGAGGTATTGAAGTAGACAATTTTCATTATAGGCTAATTTTAAAACTAGGTAAGGAGATGCAAATAAATCACCACAGCTAGAAAGAGCATATTAAAACTAGTAAAATTGCAAAGTTTGGTTGCGAAATTGTTGTGAAATGCGGAAAATATAGCCTTGCAAAAAGTTTACAAATTTTGTATACTTTTGTATTCCGTGCGGAAATTGTTACCATTTTCGGCCCAAATGTGGTAGCAATTTCCGCACGCAATACAAAAGTGTACAAAATTTGCGAACTTTGCAAGGCTATATTCCTCGCATCTTACAACATTTTGCAACCAAACTTTGCAATTTTACTAATTTTAGTATGCTCTATTACTTTTTTGACAAGATAAAAAATAGTCTATGATGGGAGTTGTCTATTTGTCATGATATTCTGTGACATCTGTGTGGAGTCCAGTGTGGGGAGTATTCTACAATATTAAGCTAGTGTCTGACCAGCTGAAGTACTAGGAAATGTAGACTTTTTTTAATTTACTGTGAACTTAACACACCTAAAACACTTTTACATTTCTAAACAGGCGAAGAGACGTTCTGTAACACATGTTCTAAGCCCTCAGTGATATTTTTATTCAGGTGTACGACATTGCCTTCAGTCGAGCGGGTGGCGGAAAAGATATGTTTGCCTCAGTCGGAGCAGATGGCTCAGTACGCATGTTTGATCTCAGGTATTTACATATTTCCCTAAACGATTTTATGGACTTTGGCTTTTACGTCCAAAGTATTTTGATACAGTAGTAAGTACTTTAGAAATGTTGAAACTTATTGAGTGTTATCTTTGGCAGACATTTGGAACATTCGACGATCATTTATGAAGATCCTCAAAGAGATCCGTTGTTGAGACTGGGCTGGAATAAGCAAGATCCGAACTACTTGGCCACATTTGCTATGGACGCAATAGAGGTCAGTGAACTGATACTATGATACAGTAACTCTATCAGTTCTAAACTGTTCTCCCTAGAGGTCCAGTAAGAATCATCTCTTATTGATCCAGTGTTAGTACAGTAGGAAACCTAAACTGAACTAACTTTATTCATACTGGATAGCTCTATCAATTCTAAACTGTTCTTCCTAGAGGTCCAGTAAGAATCATCTCTTATTGATCCAGTGTTACTACAGGAGGAAACCTAAACTAAACTAACTTTATTCATACTGGATAGCTCTATCAATTCTAAACTGTTCTTCCTAGAGGTCCAGTAAGAATCATCTCTTATTGATCCAGTGTTACTACAGAAGGAAACCTAAACTAAACTAACTTTATTTATACTGGATAGATCTATCAGTTTTAAACTGTTCTTCCTAGAGGTCCAGTAAGGATCATCTCTTATTGATCCAGTGTTACTACAGAAGGAAACCTAAAATAAACTAAGTAAACTTTATTTATACTGGATAGCTCTATCAGTTCTAAATTGTTCTTCCTAGAGGTCCAGTAAGGATCATCTCTTATTGACCCAGTGTTACTACAGGAGAAGACCTAAATTATATATACTGGATAGTTCTATCAGTTCTAAACCGTTGTTCCTGTGTTTTCTAACAGGTGATCATATTAGATGTTCGAGTTCCGTGCACACCTGTGGCCAGGCTAAGTAACCATCGTGGTTGTGTAAATGGCATAGCTTGGGCACCACATTCGTCATGTCATATTTGTACTGCAGGTAAGGTAATCCCACAGCCTGGGTAATAAACGTCTAGGTTTTGTGTTGAGCATGTAGCACGTTGGCACAAGTAATCAGTATAAATAAAGTATGTTTTCCACAGGTGATGACCACCAAGCCTTGATCTGGGACATTCAACATATGCCTCGTGCTGTAGAGGATCCAATCCTGGCTTACAAAGCAGACGGTGAGATCAACCAGATACAATGGGCAAGTACACAGCCAGACTGGATAGGGATCGGTTATAATAACTCGCTAGAAATCCTGAGAGTCTAAGCACTCTGCATATTCACTCAGGTGTGATTTGTGTAGACTTTTGTGAAAGCGCTCGGCATTGGCACATGTACAGTACGGCCGTCAAGAAAATTTTGTTGTACATTGAACTCGCTAGATAGGAATTGGTTGACACTATTAAAGTTTCTGTGATCACAGTAGGAATTTTGCATAGGTAAGTTTTGAAGGATTTGTAAGAAATGTTTGAGGGAACATTTGGCCCAAACATTACTTCAAAACTTAGAATTTATCTATGCAAAATTCTTACTGTGATCACAGAAACTTTGATAGTGTAAACCAACCTTATGGGTCGATAGGAAATGGTATTGATATACAGAAATGAACTTACAAGGGCTTAGCTTCGCGCTTTTAAAAAACAACGACAGTCCTAAGGTTTTGAACTTGACTTTTAGAGACACTAGATGCGAAATGTAACGCTAAGCTATCTGTGTAAAGTATGTTATTGCAAATGTTATTATACTATAACATTTAAACGATGAAACAAAGTCTTCACTGGATTTTTTTCGCTTCGCGATTTTTTGTTGTTGTATTTCGAAAGAGAGAATCTACACATTGATCAAATACATGGAGTACTTTAAAATCTAAAGCCTAAAGGTGAGTTTTGGTTTGGTTATTAATTTTAGTTTAATATGTAGATGTATCTATGATTTTAATCAATTTATGTTTATATCAAAGTGTTAACAATATATATATAGTGCCAGTTTCGGTTAGGACGATAACAGGATTTCTTGTAATAATATTTAGGCCTCGTTCACACTCGGCAATTTTGTCGGCGATTTTCTGTTTCTGACGGATGGAAATGAGTGAACTCGCACACAAAAGTATAGAGTCGCTTTTCAGAAGTCAACAATTCTAAGTCTTTTGCGTGTCATTCATTCAATCACATTAGCCAGGAGGAGAAAAATCGCCGACACTGCAGAGGTGGAAAAAGTATTGGAACCTAGGAACCTAGTTCCCAGAAATTTTTTGGGATCTAGATTTTTGCAGAAATTTTCATAGACATTTTTTATGTTCGATAGCTAATTCTGAAAATTACATTGATTGAATATCGAAATTATTAAATACCTGCATTGCATGATTGCTGAAATGATTGAATGCAAAATTAATCTACGAAATCGATACCAAAATTACAGCGGAACAGTTTGGCACGAAAATATTCATTTGTTTTCAATCCAGTAAAGGTCCAGACACACCGGACGCGATTCGGCAACGCGACGCGATTTTTTAGTTTTTGAAAGTTGATAAAACAGCCAATTAGAGCAAATTTTAAAAGATATTTAGACCAAATAACTCAAAATGTTATAAGGTTTCTAAATATTTGGAAAATTTAAACTAGGATCAAAGTTATCGTTCAGTGAAAATCGAAAAATCGCGTCGCGTTCTCGAATCGCGACCTTAAGACTGTAACAAATGCGACTACTTTTAGAACACATCTTAAAGAACAGAACACATCACAAACGACAATTTTGTTATGTTTCCCTTTATACAGTATTGTAATATTTGGCAGAAAATTTTTAGCCCTAAACCCAGGTTCCAAGAAAGAAAAAAAAATTCCACCTCTCGGGCTGACTGAATTGCTAGTGTGAACGCGGCTTCAATCTAGGTTAGCAGTACAAAGCGTTAGTCCGAATTGAGTCTGATAGCATAAAGTATCGGGCAACATACAACCACTGACACCCACATTACCCAGATTGTGGCTCCAAGCACCACCAGCCGTGAAGCGAGATCATGCAGGAATGGCGCATCTAGCCCAGGGATTGCGAAATATCTATAAATAAACATGAACATCGCCGGAGTAAAAGTCGCGATGCAATAAAGGAACCCGAACACGATAGATGCGCATGCGCGAATAATATAGATATTAAACTCTTTAAAACGACTCAAACGGTAGAATCCCGAGACACCTTTCCAGAATGAGCTGATGAGCATTACGAAGTAACTGAGATAAAGTAAGCTTTTCGCCAGCTGAAGGTTGTTGTCAATGTAATCTTCTTGCTCGCATTTGCCCGCGAATATACACGCGACACACGCGAGTCCCTCACGTCCGGAGCGCCGCGCGAGAAGTTCCACGTTCAAACAAGACAGCGGGACGTCACGGATTAGAGCGGTCATTAAAGAGAGGAAACTATTGCGGGTTAACCTTGTGACACGAGTCTCGTATTCCGCACCGTCTTCGAAAGTGGTTTTCAATGTCGCTAGCCAGAATCCAAGATGCATTACAAACACGCTCAGTGATACGATGTTAAAAAACACAGTGAAACCAAGAATGGTTTTATATTCAGAAATATTTGAATCCACTTTCTTCTTATCCCATTGGTCAATCTGTTGACAGTAGTCTGTTACAGAACTGCTTGTGTACTGAGCTGAGTTGATGCTACGACGTTTGATATTTAAGAGCACATTTCTCCGGGGGTCTGTTTTTCCTGGGTTTAATCTCCGAAGTATTGTATTTCGAGGGTCAAAGTTCGGAGGGTCAAAGTTTGGCGAGACAAAGTTCCGTGGCTTAAGTTTCCGAGAGTAAGAATTTGGGATATCTGAGTTCGTAGGGTCCAAATTCCGAGGGTCATTTCTCCGAACGTTACTTCTCTGACGGTCAAGATTCCGAGGGCCAAAGTTCGGTGGTTCAAATGTCGTATGGTCAAAATTCCGATGATCAACATTCCGAGGGTCGAAACTCCCAGGGACAAACCACCGAGGGTTTATACTGCGAGGGACGATTCTCCGAGAGTTAATGCTTCGCGGTTTGATAAAATCCCTGGGTTGATTGTTCGTAGTATTAAAGAGAGTTTCATCTAGGGTTTTCCAGTCAGATGAATGTGACCAAGCGTTGTTTAATACTGCAATAGACGCAGCAAGATCGATAGATCTTAGAACCAGGAAGATTATAAATTGCGTGATTAGGCCACGATATTTTTTGTGTTGAATTTTCTCTCTCTTTTCTTTGACGCGTCTGGTCATCGTCAGATATGTTTTATTTCTTGGTTATCTTGTCGAAATGTTGTGTCTTCTGCGATGTGTCTGTTCGTAAGTCGCGTCCACTGTATTTTGAAACACGACTTTCTTGTGATAGTAACTTAAGCTGCACTTTACTCGACGCTGTTCTCGTTTAATTAAACAACCCCTCAGCTTTAGCTTTTCATCTCTTTTCTTTGGAAATACATAAATGTCGCATCAAGAACAGAACTAGAATTTAAACATGATAGTTAGAAGATGGTAGGACTGCGGAGTCACATTATCACAGTGGCAAAAACTCTCTTTATTGCATCGATCAAATAACTTGCAACCTACCTGTTGTGCTACTTTTTGGAGGATAATACCCAAAATATGAAAGCTACTTCGTCTCTGAGAGTATACCATGCAGCGATTCCAATAAAAATCTTTTTATTTTTCCCTGAAAGAAGTGGTTTTCCTTTTTTCTTTGTGTTGTTATTGAAAGTACTTCTTTGACTGTTTGAGCATTGAGTATTGGATATATTCATTAATATTTAATCATTAAAAGCGTCATTTATATTGTTCGATGCTCTTTTGATGAGTGCTACATATATTTACTTAGTAATATTAAACTTTGTCTCGTGAGGTTTACCAGTCTCCAATCTTGCTTAAATCACACAGATGCTGCAGCCAAGATTAAGAACAGAAATGTTTATCTAATGAGAATTTGTGCATGGACGTGAGATGACTGAAATATTTCAGTCTTAGATCTATAGAAAGAAGCGACCACCAGCCGAATTTGTATTCAGAACCTGCTATTACGTAGATTGTAATACTTGTAATTTTGATAGGAATGACATGGGGTAAATATCAAGATGACATCACCTTAGTATATATAAATGAACTTGTGGTTAGAGCTCGACAACTGTCTCTCTGTAGCTCAGTTGGTTAGAGCTTGACAACTGGCTCTCTCTGTAGCTCAGTTGGTTAGAGCTCGACAACTGTCTCTCTGTAGCTCAGTTGGTTAGAGTTCGACAACTGTCTCTCTGTAGCTCAGTTGGTTAGAGCTCGACAACTGTCTCTCTGTAGCTCAGTTGGTTAGAGCTCGACAACTGTGTCTCTGTAGCTCAGTTGGTTAGAGCTCGACAACTGTGTCTCTGTAGCTCAGTTGGTTAGAGCTCGACAACTGTGTCTCTGTAGCTCAGTTGGTTAGAGCTCGACAACTGTGTCTCTGTAGCTCAGTTGCTTAGAGCTCGACAACTGTCTCTCTGTAGCTCAGTTGGTTAGAGCTCGACAACTGTCTCTCTGTAGCTCAGTTGGTTAGAGCTCGACAACTGTCTCTCTGTAGCTCAGTTGGTTAGAGCTCGACAACTGTCTCTCTGTAGCTCAGTTGGTTAGAGCTCGACAGCTGTCTCTCTGTAGCTCAGTTGGTTAGAGCTCGACAGCTGTCTCTCTGTAGCTCAGTTGGTTAGAGCTTGATAACTGTCTCTCTGTAGCTCAGTTGGTTAGAGCTTGACAGCTGTCTCTCTGTAGCTCAGTTGGTTAGAGCTCGACAGCTGTCTCTCTGTAGCTCAGTTGGTTAGAGCTCGACAACTGTCTCTCTGTAGCTCAGTTGGTTAGAGCTCGACAACTGTCTCTCTGTAGCTCAGTTGGTTAGAGCTCGACAACTGTCTCTCTGTAGCTCAGTTGGTTAGAGCTCGACAACTGTCTCTCTGTAGCTCAGTTGGTTAGAGCTTGACAACTGTCTCTCTGTAGTTCAGTTGGTTAGAGCTCGACAACTGTCTCTGTAGCTCAGTTGGTTAGAGCTTGACAACTGTCTCTCTGTAGTTCAGTTGGTTAGAGCTTGACAACTGTCTCTGTAGCTCAGTTGGTTAGAGCTTGACAACTGTCTCTCTGTAGCTCAGTTGGTTAGAGCTCGACAGCTGTCTCTCTGTAGCTCAGTTGGTTAGAGCTGGACAACTGTGTCTCTGTAGCTCAGTTGGTTAGAGCTAGACAACTGTCTCTCTGTAGCTCAGTTGGTTAGAGCTTGACAACTGTCTCTCTGTAGTTCAGTTGGTTAGAGCTCGACAACTGTCTCTGTAGCTCAGTTGGTTAGAGCTTGACAACTGTCTCTCTGTAGTTCAGTTGGTTAGAGCTTGACAACTGTCTCTGTAGCTCAGTTGGTTAGAGCTTGACAACTGTCTCTCTGTAGCTCAGTTGGTTAGAGCTCGACAGCTGTCTCTCTGTAGCTCAGTTGGTTAGAGCTGGACAACTGTGTCTCTGTAGCTCAGTTGGTTAGAGCTAGACAACTGTCTCTCTGTAGCTCAGTTGGTTAGAGCTTGACAACTGTCTCTCTGTAGTTCAGTTGGTTAGAGCTTGACAACTGTCTCTGTAGCTCAGTTGGTTAGAGCTCGACAACTGTCTCTCTGTAGCTCAGTTGGTTAGAGCTTGACAACTGTCTCTCTGTAGCTCAGTTGGTTAGAGCTTGACAACTGTCTCTCTGTAGCTCAGTTGGTTAGAGCTTGACAACTGTCTCTCTGTAGCTCAGTTGGTTAGAGCTTGACAACTGTCTCTGTAGCTCAGTTGGTTAGAGCTTGACAACTGTCTCTGTAGCTCAGTTGGTTAGAGCTTGACAACTGTCTCTCTGTAGTTCAGTTGGTTAGAGCTTGACAACTGTCTCTGTAGCTCAGTTGGTTAGAGCTTGACAACTGTCTCTCTGTAGCTCAGTTGGTTAGAGCTCGACAGCTGTCTCTCTGTAGCTCAGTTGGTTAGAGCTGGACAACTGTGTCTCTGTAGCTCAGTTGGTTAGAGCTAGACAACTGTCTCTCTGTAGCTCA